CAGGCTTATGTTTAAACATGCATGTAGTCTCACTAACTTCACTAGAGCAATGCTGATTTCAGTTCAGGATCTGACCCATTGGGTGTTCACCAGTATTGTTCAGTCACTTAATAAATGTGCTGAGTATCTTGTGTACAAATAAAAATGATAGCATTTAAACCCTGGCCTTCAAGGGTGAAAATGACTACCCAGTGTTCAGGGCAGGGGAACATACTATTGTGTAACTTGAGATAGGTGATAATTTGAGGGGACGCAAGAATTGCAGCTGCCAGTGACACCCAAAGGGTAGAAGTGGCTTTTTATGCCTCTGGGAACAAAGCCTACAGTTGTTTGTCTCTCTAAGGCAAAAATGAAATATATCACAACCACTGCACTGGGAGAGATTTGTGTACTGACAGAATAGAGGGTTGGCTTTTCTCTTTGCCATGACACTCTTACTCTAGAGTACGTTAATATTGCTATGCATCTATTACACTTTGAGATTAAGGCATTGTGAACATGGCACCATTTAATATCCTGCAAGGAGATATATGTTATGGTAAACTGCAATTGATCTTGTTAATTATAATAATTGATCTTGCGCTAGCTTTGCATCAGTCTTGGAAGTGCTGGGTTTCCAGCTGGATACAATGCTGACTTGGAGAAGCAACCATCTGAAACACTAACTGCATGGAGTTTTATTTAATAGCCAGCTCACCAAAGATCTGAATTGAAGTGAGGAGAGTATTAAGTTCACTTGGCTGTGCTTAGGAGCGTGCTGAGAAACTAAAGAGATTTGCACAGTACAGGCTGCTTATGTTTTCCTGTGTACATTTAAAATATGTTCTAGTGATTCATGAGTAATTATGTTTGAATTATCCAAATTGTAAATTATACTCCGTTAAGAGTTTATCTTTTCTATATATGAAAATCCTCTACTTTTTGGAGTGCATAAATTCCCTTTAAAATACCCTCATTTATTCATATACAATTTATTTTCATGTCTTGTGCATTGAGCTAATTTCTCAGCATCCACTTTTTTTAACGAAGTTAAGTTGCCCCCTAAATGGCTGTACATTACTCGAAAATGCTGTCTTTTCATCCTTGGTAAATTGGTTAGGACTGTCTTTCTAGTAACCCTAGAAATACAAATATGCACACTAGGCCTGTGTGAAGCAGCTAGTATTCGCTTTGGATTTGGATTCGGCCGATTCGGGGGACGGGGATTCGATTCGGCGATTGGAATCACTGTCCCAATTCAATTCGGCTGAATCTGATTCCAAGATTCGGCTGCTGCCGAATCTCCGAATCAGCCAGGCTAGGCCCATCCCTGCCCGCATTCCCAGCCTGGCAATGGTTGCCCCAGCTCCCAGCACTTGTTAAAAAAAAAAAAAGCCCTGGCTCAATGGCTGTGGCCGGGTGGGGGGCGATCCCTAGTCCCCCCCACTGCCCCATGCTGCATGGGGGGCTCTGTACAAGCCTTCTGACCCCCCCCACTCCCCCAAACCCCCCATGGGTGCCCCGCCCAGGCCAGCTCTGTCCCTTTAAGAAAAACAAAAAAAAACTCCGGGACTCACCACTCCTGCTGATGGGGGGCAATCCCTGCTGCCTCCCACTGTCCCATGCT